ATTTTTAAGGCTTCTCTCCTAGCTAAATTATAATAACATGACGTGCGTACTAACACTTGCGTTTCTAAGAAGGAGATCCTGTGTTCTTCCTTCCAGGAATGTTCTGCTAAAGCGGATTTGTCTGGTTGATGTTACCCCATGTCTTTCGTGTTCCTTTTTCCCTTTTGCGATCGTGCATTTCATCATGCCTACGTATACCTTAGAACAATCTCCGCAAGGAATCGAATAAACTCCTGATGTATGTAGTGGATTTAGTTGGTCTTTGGGGTTTCGTAGTAACTGGCTTATTTTCGTCGTCGATGTGAAAATCGTCCTACGTAAGGGTGGAAACGTAGTTACTTCAGCCTTTTGCTTGTAAAATTTCCAACAAATTGGTCCTCCATTCATTAGAAAAGAGTATCAATATCTGCACCCAGTTAGATCAGCATCGATGTAGCCTTCAAATCCTTTTGAATCGGGTACGTACCTAAATGGAAGTGGCGTGGTTGCAGATTTTGCATCAGACATGTGGAATTTCTTGAGTAATTCTCTGATCTAGTTCCCTTAAGAAATACTTATATCACCAGAGCGTTGGACTATTTCTATCTCAAGGCACTTACCTTGCTTTGCCCAAATCCTTAAACTCAAAACTTTTCTTCAACTCTGTTTTGATCCACTGAATCTACTTCATGTCACGGGAGGCAATGAGAATATCATCTGCGTACAACACAATAATTTTTAGGATATCATTGCTTCAAGAGTCTGACACAGTTGGCATCATTCCTAAATGTCGTAATTTTTTATTTATGAGCTTGTTCCACTGCTTTCCTGCCTGTTTGTGTATTTGCACTGTCATGAAAATTTCTTCTTCTAAAACCCCATTTAGACGTAGTAATTATGTCTAATTGGTGGATCTCCATTTCAAAGCTCATAATCACCGCAAACAGAAGGCGAATTGACTCAAGGTGCTTAAGAAATCAACACGAAGTCGTTATGTGAAACCCAATCTTTTTGGTCAGTACGAAATAACATCCTATCACATTTCGACCTATGGAATGGTCCACGAGCTGTCAAGTGTCCTTAATTAAACTTTCCTCCAGGATAGCATTTTTCCGTTCATCCTTATTTGGACCACTAATTGCATCCTTCAGCTTTATCTCCGCGTTGAAGGCTATGCTCACTAATATTACATTTTTCAAACACTGCATCAGGCGGCTCTGACGTTACACTTATTTCAGGAACTCCAAAACCCTGCTCAGACCGTCGACTTCGTTAAGTGGCAAACTGGATGGTTCATGAGTTTAGTCCCTTACAAGATTAAGACTTGAAACAGCTCTAGGACATGCTGGCAACATTGGAATTTCTGAGACGATTTGATTATTAACACTGGTTGTTCTCATCATATTATACACCTTCCGTGGTGGATCTAATCCAGTTCTCATTTTCCTTGGTCGGTCACGCCCTCGGTTCCATGAAACATTTTTATTATCTTCTTCTGACACTTCATGTTCAGTTTCAACATTATTGTAAGGCTCGTCTTCAGACTCAGGGTGAATTTGTCTACAAGAAAGGACATTTACAGATCCAATTCTGGTCTTTTCATTAACAATATCTCCTGATGCTTCATACTCTCATCGTTCCTCGATGAACCTCACATATCTAGGAATGCTGACTTTTCGTTGTTGAGGTACCCAGATTCTGTATGCCTTATGTTCCTCAAAATAACCCAACAAAAATACTTTCTTGACCACGTTTTTCGAATTTCTTTGGAGAATTCTGCTGCTAAATCCAAATATCCTTAAATGCTTCAGGTCTTTCTGATCCATTATTCGTTCCTTACATAATTTGCAGCAGAGATAACTTCTACCCAAAATAATGCAGACATTCCAGACTGAAGCATCATACATCTAGCCATTTCCACAAGCGTACGATTGTTTCGCTTAACTACCCCATTTTATTGAGGCCTGTAGGGAGCACTGAACCTTCTTTGAATTCCTTCAGTCTAATGAATTTATCAAACTCTTTGGTTTTATATTCAGAACAGCCATCAAATCGGAAAGCCTTGATTTTTGTTCCCATCTGATTCTCGACTATATACCTTAAAAATACTGAATAATTCATCCTGACTTATCAGAATGTACACAACACACCAGCGAGTGTAATTAGTAATGAATGTTATGAAATACTTCCCATCTCCCTTCGAGATGTAGCCATAGATCCACAGATATCAGAAAAAAATAAATCTAAAGGTCTCTGACTTCGTCCCTCTCCCTTAGGAAAGACAATTTTTACAATTTATAAGCTCTCCATTATCATTAATCTTGACTTCAACTATGTTGCCAGTTTTTTCAGTTCAGTTCAATTAACATAAATTGTCTTGCCATTTTAATAAACAGCTTCTTTTCCTTACATAAATCAGATGTACACCCGCTGTCCAAACACCAGGAACTTGACGATGATACATCGGACTGAAAAGCCTCTCCACTATCGGTCATCTCAGAAAAGTAACTTTCATCAACTGACTGGCACTATCACGAGATCCCTTACGCCAATTATCTCGATAATTGGAATGCGAATTATTACCATGACTTTCAGAACTTTATGTTGAGCCGTCTTTAGCTTTGTTGTTATTGAACTCCACAGCGGCCACAACGAAAAAAAATTACTTTGGCGTAGTATACTTCTTATAACTGATATGCTGTCTAGGCTCTTTTCTATTTGACTGGTATAAACCGTTTCTCATTGCTAATAAAGCCCCAGATTCACTTATCTAAACTCGAGATTGACGTGATTCAGATGCTTCAATAACCTTGATTTTAATCATCTCAGGACTTGGTGGTTCATCACTCGTTAAAGCACAGTGAAGCGAAGAATAACTATCTAGTAGCACTATGCTCAGCAACTCACTATTGATAACTACAATCACAGCTTCATGTTTTTAAGCAATATCAAAAAATGAGTATAAATGTTCATGTACATCACCTTCTTCGGACAGTTTTTGTGATAAAAGTGATCTAAATAGCAAATGCTTACGTGCTAAGCCAGATGAGGCATAAATTTCTTTCAATCTGTTCCACAATTGCTCAGATGTAGGTAAAGAAGCAACTTGTTTTACCTTACCACTTATGACAGCAATATATTAACGCGAACTTTTCGATCTCTCACACTCCAATTATTTAATGCAACCTCTATAGCAGTCTTTGCTTCGCCTGTAACTGTTGGCTCCGGAGGTGTTGTGTATTAACGCGTGCATCGAATATTCCGCCGTTTCTAGAACGTTCCAGTAGCTGTGCCCATAACATTCGGTCCCAGCGTTCTCCTTCGAGAACATTCCTCTCACCACACTCGACGAAGATTTCCCCTCTTCCACGAAAACAAAAAAAAAACACTCGACGAGTTTTCTCTCATCTACTCTGTGTCATTGTAAATAAATACAGTTGTTCATAACAGTGGTTGTTATTTATCTTTACCTCACGATTTAACAGTGGTGTCAGGAGTGGGATAAGATAAATAACTTTGTGAAACCTGTGAACATTCTAACTCCAACGCAAATGTGTGCACCGAACTAAGTTCATCACAGTGTGTTAGAAAAACTTCCCTCCACTCATCTTCGCCATGCCGGACTTAACTTCTGAGCAACTCCAACAATTCTGGGCAATCATCGCCGACGCTCTCCGATAGAGAACAACGGGACGACTGTAACCGACTATTTCACTCGATTCACATGGGCGCTCGACCTGAGTAAGGTATCGGCGGATCAAAATGCACATTTTGCACGGGTCTACATGGGTGGTGAAGTCAATGATGCCTTGAACATCTTGGTGAGTCCCGCTGATCCAGGAACTATCATACAACGAGATCCAACATAAACTGGCTGGTCACTTTGACGCCACCCGCAACAAGTTCGCTGAGAGCATCAAATTTCGGAGCGTTATGCAGAAGCAAGGAGAGACCATCGCTAGCTTCACCTTAAGACTGTGTCAGGCTGCAACGTTTTGCGAGTACGGCGCATTCCTCGATCGCAAGATTAATCGAACAAATGCTCGCAGGGTTGGAATCACGAGAAATGTGCGACGAGATTATTGCAAAGAAGCCAGAGAACTTCACCGCGGCATATGAAATCGCACACGCTCTCAAAGCTACTCGCACCCCTGCCGACGAGGTCAAAACAACTGCCTCTAAGTCTGAATCAATTAATCGAATTGGATATGAGAAGCCTTTCTCCAGGAAAAGCATTAACCAGCGGCCACCACGCAACAAGTCAGCTCATCGAAACCAAGGATCTTCCAACCAAACCAGGCAGCAACAAGGACCACACCAGACAACCAATCAACATGTGTAGGGTGCGGTGCAGCACTCCCTCGCAGCCAGTGCGGGTTCCTCAACGCCGAGTGCCTGAAGTGTAGCAAGAAAGGTCACATCGGAAAAGTTTGCTGATCAAAATCGAAGAAACGTGGGACAACAAATCACGTGTCCGAAGAAGAGCTGCCAGCAGATGACCTCGACGTCGTGGAGTGAAGTGGAGTACCTCAGCAAAATTGAGGTCATTGGATCGGTCAGTGCAGCACCTAAACCACTGGTTGATGTCAACATTGAGGGAACCACCGTCAAAATGGAACTCGACACCGGCGCCCCTTGCTCAACCATGAGCAAATCAAAGCTAAATACGATCAAACCAGGTTTTGTGTTGCAGAAAAACGATCGTAACTTCGTCAGTTACACCGGCCATCCAATCAAATGCATTGGGAAAATGTCAGTGCGCACCACCATTGGAACCACAACAAGGAACCTGAATCTCTACGTGGTTGACAATGAAGTCGAATCGCTCGTTGAGAGTGGATTTCGGAGTTTGTACAGGAGATCGACTTTGGGCACCTCTTCATGAAATTCAACGCAATCCACAAGCTCTCAGACTAACAGGCTCTGACCTCGGAACAACAAAAGCAGCTCGATAACTTTCTATCTCGCTACCAGGATGTGTTCACTGACACCCCCGGGAAAGTCTCAGGTCCCCCAGCGAGATGCACCTGAAGACTGGAGCCACACCTGTCTTCGCCCGAGCTCGAGACGTACCAGTTGCCCTCCGTGATGCCTACGACAAGGAAATCGACATTAAAATCGCATCTGGCTTCTACAAAAGAGTGGACTACTCCGAGTGGGCGTCAACAACACACGTCGTTGCCAAGAAGAACGGCAAGTTGAGGATCACAGGCAACTACAAGCCAACTCTGGGTTTAAACCCACGGATCACTATCGATGAACATCCGATTCCCAAGATGGAACACCTGTTCAACCAAATGCGCGGCGCCACTCTCTTTTTTCACCTGGACATCGACGACGCGTACACTCATCTCGAGGTCGATGATGAGTTCAGTCACGCGCTCACGCTGAACACCCCCAACTCATGGTCTGATCCGTCCAGCACGAGCAGTCTATGGAGCAGCTAACATCCGCTATCTGGCAAAGGCGAATGAACACGGTTCAACAAGGTCTCCCAAACGTCATAAGTTTTTTTGACAGTATAATTTTTGCTAATAGTTTTGAAAATCTGATGAAGGAAGGAAGATTAATATCTCAATGTATTGAGTGACATACCGTTAGTATAAATACAGAGTTTTATCAGAATAGATGCAGTAGTCTTTGAGCTATCGGCAACCAAGTAACTTAATCGGGAAGGTAATATTTAGTGTGAAAAAAATTGAGCCTAGCGCTGTTATAAAATTTCTTACCAAGAAAAGAAAACCAAACAATTTCGAAATAGATGCGGGGACTCTTGCCCTTGTAAAATTATGGTTTTTAAATGGTATCGCCTATGTAAGCAAAGATGTGAATCACTAAAAGATGATCCACGGCTTGGACGCTCTATAGAGGTAACCACACCCGCAATCATCCCTAAAGTAGAAAAATTAATATTGGCAGCTGATTGTCTAAGGAATGAACAACTTGCAAAAATGGTTGGCGTATCCGATACAACTTTAAAATTCCTTATGACCATCTTCGTATGACTAAGGTTACTGCAAGATTGATGAAGAGAATGCTCACTCCACCCTAAAATCAACAGCGCAAATATTTTTAGACCCCAATACCGGAGATCAAGAGGGAATATTGAGTCGATGAAACGTGGGTTCACCATTATGAACCTAGAACTCAACAAGACTTTATGCAGTGACATAAAAAAGGCACACTACCGTCTCAAAAGTTCAGGATGTCACCGCCCGCCGGAAAAGTCATGGCTTCTGTTTTCTAAAATACTGAAGGTATCCTGTTGACTGAATTTAAGGAAAATGATAATAATATCACTGAATAATAAATACGCTTCAATTCTGGAGCAACTGAAGAACGCAATGGAAAAGAAACGATAAAAAAATTTGACAAAAAGTGTCTTGCTCTTGCATGACAATGCGCCCTTTCATAAAAGCTATGTAACCTGACTACACAAGTCGAGTTTCGATGTCATTGATCACCCACCTTATAGCCCAGGCCTGACCCCCTGCGATTCTTAAGATTTCTAAAAATGAAAAAAGGACTTCGTAGAAATTTTTAAGCGACGATGAAGTGAAGGACGCAGTTTTAGCGTATTTTGATGATAAAACTCAATCTTTTTTGGATGGTATACATAAATTTATTAAACTATCTGAAAAATGTATTAAGGCAATCCGTGAATGTATTGAAAAATACTACTACTTATATATATATATAGTTATCGATATAATTATCGACAATTGTAAATAATTTTTGATAGTCGATATATTCGACATACAGATGTTTGATTGTTAGTTACTTAAAAATATCGTTCAGGATTAATCAAAGGTCATCCCTATACATATTGGTGGGGTCTATCTAAACTGCAGCCACGAACCATACGACAAACTCATTGCTGAGATGATGCATTTGATTCGGTGGGATACGCCCTAGTTGGACATATACGAGCCCTTTTTCTTACAGTCAGCGCGAGTAAAATGTCGTTGTAAACAGAGGGTGTAAAATTTGTTAAAAAAAAAAGCAAATTCAGTGCTATACTTTCCACAACACGAAACATGGTCCTTCAGCAGCCCGATTACATTATAAAAATCGGAATTTTGAAGAAATTGTAATAGGTTTCACAAAAGTTAATTCGAAACCAGAATCGGTCAGAGTGCCCTACAGTAAAGCAAGTAAAGTAGAACAGGGAATTACCAACGCTTAATCGACTGCGGAACTGGACGGCTGACCAGACTAACCGTGTACATGTCCTTTATTTACTATTCCTGTTCATAATATTGTCTCTTTCGCGTGTATGCGTTCATTTACGATTTAGAGGTTTGTGTATTGTATATTCCATAATAATTCATATTTCGTTGTATTTGATTGCATTGCGATTTTTGATATCGTTTCGAATTTAGTTCACTATGACCAAAGCTAGTGATAATCTCAAGCTCTTATACAGAAAAACGGGCTACAAAGCCAAATTAACGCAATTTGACAAATTCGTCGCATCGTTTGAAGGTCTCGAGAAAGATTACGTAACACATTTTTGATGATTTCGATGACATTCAAAGCGAAATTGAATGTTTAGCAGAGGTACCAGATGAACAGTATAATATACGCGAAAATTCGAGAATAAATTTTACTGCTTATTGTTTAAAAGCAAAGGCAATGCTGAAAAGTTACACACAAAATGGTTAATGTGTCAAATCAAATGTGTCTAGTGAGCAACCGTCTGTTAACTCGACTCATAACACGGAAATAAAGCTACCGGGCATCAATTTACCCAAATTCGATGATACATACGAAAAGTAGCTCAAGTTGCGCTCCTTGTTCGAGTCCATAATGCACGAAAACACGAATATAGACAAAATTCAAAAATTTCACTATTTAACAGCCTCTTTATGTGGTACTGCGCCTCAAGTACTAGAGGAAATCAACTTCAACGCGGAAAATTACGAAACCGCGTTGATTACCCTTTACGACCGATACAACAATGAGTATTTACTAATTCAAAACCATTTAAAAGCAATTTTCAATATGGAATCTATTTCAATAACATCAGCTAATAAAATTCGGGTGAAAAACGAAAAATTTGTACTATCAATGACGCGAAAGAACCGAATAGGACCTATTCAAGAGGTTTGTTACGACCACCGATACCGACAAAATGTACACTTGGTTTAATCAAAATATTGATGCATAAACTGTCGAAAGGAACATAGGTTATTCCTGTAACGATGTTGCGCATCGTTGTGCCCAGCAAAGCCAGTAAAATTGTACTGCGGCTGCGCGACACATAAAAGTACATGCTCCCAGTCTTTCGAGGCCTTTTTGCCATTGAGTTTTTGGAAGTATTTTTTCATACTAATATTTTGGGACAACTAACTTATTGTTGATCCTTAATTAGCCCGTTTAGTCAAGGCTAGGCAGGAATATTTGTATAATTACCGGGTCGAAAGGTACACCTGTTGTATTAGTTATAAAATATTTCCAGAATAAATTATTATTCGCGTCGAAACTAGCGACCACGTGGCTATTAGCTCCCGATAATTAGAGTCTGTGTGAATGTGTAGTAGTGGCATTGAGTTTTGTTACCAGTGTTGAATAAACAAGCTCAATTTACGAATTAACCCTATTGTACGTATCAGTTATTTCGTCACCATTACCCTCCATCCAGAGTGAGTGTTGGAGCGTCTCGCACCAGAGTCTAGTATCACCACCAGAAGGTCAGGTCATCCATATCACCGAATGTTTACCTACGCTAAGTATTAGTGCTAGTTAGTATTGTAAGGCCAGTTCGGGTAATTGCAGCGGGAATTTTCAAAGGATCTCGAATACATCAGACAGGCGAACCCACTAACTTTGAGACGACAGCTGATAACGTGATAGTTCCCTAGGTCGTATAACGTTAGTTTGCAGACCAAATTCCAACTAAATCAATAACGTCGTTTCATTCCATTGGGCAAATTTTCTAAAACTGAAAGTTAATGATTGGCAGTTATGTATGAATTGCTTACAATCATTCCTGGCAACAGTGTACATGGTCAGAAGGCAACGCGGAAAATACAAGCTCTGATCAACAAAAGTTAAACAAGGAGCCTCCTAGTGTTACGATAAGCTCAAATATCGAATAAGCATCGTCCAAGTGCACGCTGACAACACTGCAAAGCTCTCTCCTCTCGACAGCTAAAGTACTGTTCGTTCCAAGAAGATAGAGATATGCCCCTTCCCTTTATTAGGATGCGTCGTAGCATAATTCCAAATTCAATCACATTTGTCCGCGGAGCTCATTTCTCCACCGATCATCGAGCGAAAACTAGACAAAAGCGTACAGTACCATTTGCAAAATTATTTAAACTGCCTTGTTAAAATTTAAGAATATGCTTTATTTAAAAGCTTATTTAGCCAAAAATAATAACAAGTAAATTAACTTAACGTTCTACACACCTATAAAACTTTTGCTTTGTTTTCTATTGTTAATTTATATACATTTTTGTTTTAAGAAATTGCTAAACATTTTCGTCTAGTACTGTACAGTTCTAGCCGATCTCCTAAGACCGCCCATCGAGAGCTCT